GATCAGAAACCCTAATCGGGGATCCTGAACTGCACTGTTTTTAATCTTCGGGTGAAAACATCAAATTGGACTCATGATTGACCTAATGGAGTATCTTTGATGAAGTTGAGACTTGTTTCATGGAGAAAAAATCCAATACCTTGACTGATTAAATCGTTGAAACCTCGATTTCCGATTGTACGGAACCCTAATTCACCTGTATCTTAACAAAGACAAACATGAAATAGGTTAAGGTTAGATAAACAATGATAATGCTCCTAGAATGATGATGAAGATCTAAGAGGTCAAAATTTGGGGTGCAACACTTAGCAATAAACAATATTAAAATAAGAGGTTTTGTAGAGTACTATAGAAACATAGGATGCTAGCACCTTCCCTAAGTTTAACCAACCCACGAACCTAAACTCTCTAGCTTTTGCATTTGCATTGCATTGTGAGTAATTCGATCTTTTCCCCTTCCTTTGGACAAATAAAATATCGGTGGTGAACCAATGAATTAAGATTCAAATTAATTAATAATTTGACATCCGATTCTCACCGCGACAACTCGTCTAGTATGGGCTTGGACTTTAGCAAAAACTACCTCAGATTTGATAAAATCAAATCAGATAATTATTCAAATATTTTCCTAAGATAATTCTTCAAATATTTTCATAATTAACACCAATTATATTTGACCAAATCAAATCAAATTCCAAATCTTCTCATAATTAAAACCAACTCATATTTGATCAAATCAAATCAAATCAAACTCTAAATCTTCTCAAGATTTTGTGCATGAAAATAGAACAAAATACTCCACAAAAATAGGAACAAATATTTTATAGTTTCCTAAAAAATCTCAAAGATCCTTTTTACGAAATCCAATTTAATCTGCACTTTGTTCCTAATAAATCTCCTTGACCTACGCAAAATGATGAGGTATATCCAAGAGGATCTCATCAAATCAAAACACATATGTCAAGAGATTTAACATAGCAGTGCCTTCTGTACCAGACCAAGATGTCATGACATTTGTCTTCGACATCTATCTGAAACACATGACAGTAGTACTGTCATAACAATTGATGAAGATGTTATAACATCTTTCTCAACATCAGTGTAGAATCATGTTTTACCAAAATTTAGCAAATCATATAACCATGGAACTAACAAACAATATGAAAACTAATAATTGAAGTTGTCGCGCTCCAAATTTGGCTATCTGCAAGGACGCATTCTGGGTAGCTTGGGTAGGGCCTCCAAATAAACTGTTACAAAAAATATAATAGTTAGAGTTTAAATACAGATGTTAGCATATATTTAGATAATGTAGCGGTAACAAACTTACATCGTTAGCCCTCAATCTATCTAGTGCAAATCTAAATCCTTGGACGTAGTGCCGAGGATTATTTTGGTAAGTCATGCCTCTTCGAACAAATCTTGCAATGTTAAAAGAAAGAAATGTAATATAGGGATGTAAAAAAAAAGAAAAAAAAAAGAATATAAAATGTAAATAATGTTTACCTTGTTGCATAAGGATGGTATGAATCGACGGAACTAGTGGTATATGCCAATATGTCCAAACACTTAGTAGTAGAACACACCCCCCAATACCTTTGACCCCTATCCTACATGCTTTACATATATGCCTATATAATGTAGCTAAACTAGCAGAACCCCAACTATATCTATTGCATTTATCTAAATCTCCTACTAGGGGTATCCAAGAAGAATGTAAATAGTTATGGATTTTGTCTGGCATCAATACTTTAGCTATGAGTTGTAATATGAGAAGGTTCTCCTTATCGGATGGTGTTAGGTTTTGTCTTAGTTGTACTAATATAGTTTGTAGCCAAACAATTTTAACACAGCCTTTATGTTTATTAGATGTCGAAGGTTTGATACCTAATTTTTCCATATATACATCACTGCCTACCTAAGTAGGACCATTCTCAGCCTTAACATTCACACGAAGACCTAATAACATACTTACATCCTCCAAAGTGATGGTACATTCACCTGTTAGAAGATGGAAAGTATGTGTTTCTGGTCTCCACCTCTCCAACATAGCAAGTACGAGCTTTGAATCAACTTTGATGGTGATTATTTCTGCAGCTTTTGCAAAACCTGCTCCTTCCAAATACGGTTTGATTGTGTCACTTGGTACATCGATAGCATGATAATGTAGTCTAAATCTCTCGTTGTCGGACTGTTTCAAATATTGAAAAATAAATACAACTTGATGATGTAATATTAAACACAAGTATGAAGAAACAAAACTTACATAGGCGGCAACGTTGGTCGGTGTTCCCTGATGGTTTTCTCCCATCCACAACATTGCCATTTAGAATATTTTACAACTGATGAAACAATGAAGGTGTTGAAGTATTGATTTAGTTTTTTGTTTTTGCAATGCATATGAATAAAATTTGTTGTTATTTATAAGAAAAAGAGATGACTAAAACTTGTGAGCCATGCAATTATCCGTTGGAAAACTACATGAGTCAAAATTATTGACTCTGCATGATTCCCCCTACATGATTCCTCTGCATCCCGAATACTACACGTTATACCTAATACTACACACTACACCCTAATTCTACACTTTGCACCCTAATTCTACACTCTGCACCCTATGTCAATCAAATGACATATAGTCACACGTCCTTCAATGGCTCGCCCTTTGGATGTCTGAACCTATGCATAAGCTTCATGGGCTCGTCCTTTGGATGGACGACCCTACACGTGGGGTTCAGGGGCTCGTCCTTTGGATGAACGACCATACATGTGGTCAGCATGCACTCATCCTTTGGATGGACAACCCTACATGTGGTCAGCATGCACTCATCACTATATATCTTGCATGCATGTGAATAAAGACTCACATCCAACTCACACACTTTCTGTATAGCTATGGTAGATAGAAATACAATGGTTACCATGCACTATAATGATTCCGTGCTCACTGATCAAAATACCGGTTTCTCATTCAACGAAACAAATACGGTGATGTTCAAACTTCATCGTAGTTCTGATATTCTTCATATAAAAGAAAGAATTGAGAAAAAAAAGTGCAATGCTCAGCTCAGGATATTATTTACTGTTGACCATTACCTAATGAGGTAGATGGAGGTGTCTTCTACATAATGATGCAGATAGATACAGACAACGCAGTCAAATCAATGTTCCAATGTCATTACACAATGCCTCATTTGAAGACAATTGAGTTATATGTTCTCCTTGATGATGAAGCATATCCAATGTAGTCATCATATTCGTATCAATACGGAGTGAGCCAAATAACTGATGAGGATATAACGCAAAATAATGAACATTTCATATAGAACGAGGAGGTTGGTGAAGGCAGTGACGATGAACTCCATGATGTTCATTTTGAAGATCTATTCGGTGATGGATATGAAGAGGATGTGTTCCTCGTGCATTCACAGGTAATAAATTCTCAACCCATTAATTTGTACAATCCACCAATGCATATGTCAAACATATGTCTGGAGTCTTCTCAACCCATCTATATTTTTGAAAACGAAAAACCAAACCATATTGGTGACAACTTGGAAGTAGGTTTGGTGTTTAAAAATAAGGAAACATGTATTATTTTTTTACAACACTGGAATATAAGTAACAATCTTGACTATGCAGTATATAAATCTGATTCAGTATGGTATATAATAAAATGTAAGAACCCACAATGCATCTTCACATGTAGAGCTGCATTACGTAACAAAAACACATTATGGGAGATCTCTACTATAAGCGGATCACACACATTCACAACAACTTCTATGTCACAGGATCATAGAAAATTAGATTCTAAAATTATTAGCCACAACATCAGAGAACTTGTTAATAGCGACGCTTCACTAAAAGTCAAAGTGATACAAGCCCATATTGCTGAAAAATACGGTTATAGAATCTCATATCAAAAATCTTGGATTGCAAAGATTAAAGCCATAGAATCACTTTATGGGAATTGGGAGACGTCTTACAATGAATTACCATAATGGTTGTAGGTGATGAAGACATATCTTCCTAGAACTGTTATACAGTTGGAAACATTGCCAATTATTATAGATGACGGATCCCAATTGGGTGACAAACAGAAATTTCACCGACTTTTTTGGGCATTTGAACTGTGTATCCGTGGTTTTACTTACTATAAACCGATTGTGCAAATTGACGAAACCTGGTTGTACGGCAAGTACAAAGGGACTTTGTTGATGGCTATGACACAAGATGGAAATGGTAACATTTTCCCGATAGCATTCGCATTGGTTGAAGGTGAGACAAAGGATGGTCGGAGTTTCTTTCTCAGGAATTTGAGAATGAATGTGACCCCCCAGGCCAATCTTTGTGTAATATCCGACCGACATCCATCAATCAAGAGTGCTTACGATGATCCTGAAAATGGGTGGGAGTTTCCTCAGTTTTCACATGTTTACTGTATCAGAACATTGCACAAAACTTCATGCATGAGTTCAGAGACAAAGAACTACAGAAAACAGTTTTCAACATGGGTATATCTACATCTTCACGAGTTGATGTTTCAATTTTTATTTATTGATTTTCATATGTTTTACTGAACATTTTGTTTAAACATTTTCATCTACAGGATATGCACTAACAGAGACAACATTTAACTACTACAGGGGTGAAATACGAAGAACAAATAGAGCAACTTTGGAGTGGATAGACAATATTCCTAGAGAGAAGTGGTCGAGAGCGTTCAACAGAGAACAGAGGTGGGGACACATGACAACAAATTTGGCCGAAGCTATGAACTCGGTACTTAAGGATACCCGAAACCTTCCAATTACAGCATTGGTCAAGTCAACATTCTATCATCTGGGACCGCTGTTTGAAAAACGAGGACATGATTGGACAAAAATGTTGGCATGTGGTCAAACTTTCACGGAAAACTGTAATAAGGGAATGGTCGGTGAAGCGAGTAAATCTAGCATCCATAATATCATTCAATTTGATCGCGAGAGTTTTTTTTTATGGTTGCCGAAAGCATTAATCAACACGATGGCCGACCATTAGGTACTTTTAGCGTTGATCTCAGAAGAGGATGGTGCGATTGTGGGAGGTTTCAGGCATTTCATTTACCTTGTTCCCATGTAATCGTAGCATGTTCCAGTATACGAAAGGACCACAACATGCACATACCAGATGTTTTCAAGGTTCTAAGTGTATTTAAAGTCTATAGCGAAAGCTTCCTTGGACTTCCACACCACCAAAATTGGCCAACATATGAAGGATTCACTCTTTGCTATGACGAGACAATGCGAAGGAATAAGAAAGGGTGTCCAAATAGTACAAGAACTAAAATCGAAATGGACGATCTTGAGAAAGAAAAGAGAAGATGTGGAATATCTCGAGAAATTGGTCATATGCGTAGGAAATGTCCAAATGTAGTAGGCCCGTCAAATCGGCTCGTCTAAATTACTTTATTTGTTTTTTAATATTTAAATGGTAATGTCTATTATACTATATAAGTTTTTATATTTTATATCATATAAAATCATAATAAATATATAAAATTATAATAAATATTTTATATTTATATTTAAAATAATTTAAAAAAAAATAAAAGAAAATCGTGGCATTGGGTCGGTCAACCATTGGCTGAGCCCCTACATTGGCTTTATGACCTTCAATGGGTCGTCCATTGGAAGGACGAACCCTAACACAATTCGTGGCGTTTTGATCATTTTTTTTCAACTTGCGGCATATTGGTACATTCCATTTCAAAACGTGGCAATATGGTAAAAATTTCTGGTCTTGAAACCTAGCGGGTGGCAAACTCTTTGGTTTATCAAACACATCATCAAAAGGCAATAATACAACTGCTATGTCAGGATGTAAGTCAGGAAGCCACATATATTTGGGGATAACCTTGTGAAATTGCAAGGTAAAATCTAAATCAATAGCTTTAGTGTGATGTAAACATTTGATGTGGTTGAATTATGCTTGACTGGGGCCCTTCTGTGTGTCACCATATAAAGTAATAAAGGTGTCCTTAACATAAAAATTTATTGACAAGGCATTGTAATTAGCTATGTGAGGTCTAAGGTTTAACCAAGGAACACCCAACAGCAAATCAGCCCTTGAAATAGGCAACAAATACACAGGCAAATGAAGTGTATTACCCTGAATGGGTAAGTCCTAAATGTAGCCCATAGTGGTTAAGGAGTTCCCATTCCCAACAAAAACCTAGAATTGATCAGCTGAATAAATTGGCAATCGTAAGGTGTGTGCAATTCTCAAGTGTAAAAAATTATCCAAACTTCCATTATCCAATAACGCAGTCACAACATTACCCTGAATCTGACCTTAGAAATACATTGTGCCCATACCATGCGACCCATTCAAAGCATTTAAGGATAGGTGATATTGTGCCTCGCCCAAGGGATGTGTATCGGCTAAGGGTTGGACTGGTTCAAGGGTTGGGTCAGGATCATCTTCTTCCTTTTGGAATAAGAAAAAGTGGCGGTTCAGAAATTTGTGGTTGATAGAGAATTTTTCATCACGGTAGTAGCAAATCCTTTTTTAACGGCATAATTGTATTTCTGCTCTGGTAATGTTTTTGACTGGGTTGCTTTTAGAAGGTGGATAGTTTTGTTTTGGCATTGGTAACAATGGAGGTTGAGGGTTATTTCTAGATGTTGTGTTGGGAACGGGAAAGTGATAAGGTTTGGTGGTGGAGTTTGGAGGTTTAGCCGATGGCGGTGGTGAATACTTGTCTTCAAACAACCGAGCCAAAGCATAAGCTCGTGACAGAGAGGAAGGCATTTGTGTAATAACATCACGTTTGATTTCTGATTTCATACCACTAATGAAACAATTAAGAGTGGCTTCATGGCTCATGCATTAGGATCGGTTTGCAAGAACAGTGAATGCATAGTAGAATTCAATGACGGTGTTGCTTTATATGAGTTTAAATAAACTGGGTCGGGGCGACTCATAAGGTGATGGGCTAAACTTCATTTCTAAGGCCTGAGCAAAAATGGTCCAAAATTCAAATGGTTAGTTATGTGATATCATTTGAACCAAGGAACGGCGTATTTTTCCATATGCACGGTGATCATGGTGAGACGTTGGTTATCTGGCGTGTTATAATAATCAAAGAATTATTTGGCTTTAAAAATCCAGTTCACCACCTTAGATTCATCATATCGAGGGAAATCGAGCTTAATGTTACGCACTTGAAATGGCAGTTGTGTCGTTGTTGATGAAGAGGTGAGTTCTTGCTACCAGGGATCTGTGAAACATGAAGAGTGCTAAGTTGATTCTCAACACGATCAAAGTGATCCTGGTCCATGTGACGGTGTTGAGCATACTCGGTGTGACAACGGTCAGCTTCTTCCATAAATTTCTAAAGCGTTTTGTTCATTCAGCTATGGAGCTTTCCATACTCTTCATGTGTGTATTCTCAGCCATTGAGAAGGTCAATAAAAGCACCAATGTTATGTATCGATGAAACAATGATATACAAAAGCAAGCACATAAGTACACACAAGGCAACAGTACAATATGGAATAAGGGAATTTATTGATGGGGATGGTTACAACCAATTAGAGAAATGGTTACAGAGAATCTAAGTAGTACTAGAAAAACTGAAAAGCTTCTAAAGAGGGAAGAGACTCGGGATTTCCATCCACTAAATTCGACACCAATCATTTCCGCTCATTCTCTTACTTAAACAAATCCATTAGTGTATTTTCTGTAATGAATTCTTACTCTCTTTCCATATATAGGCCCCTGAATGTCAAGATCCTTTACCAAGTATCCTGCCTCATCAAAAGAGTTGGTTACTGTGGTAATTTCTAAGTTGGATATTGTGATACCATTTGATCTGACCTGATCAGAAGGGAATCAGTGACTTGCCATGCATCGTCAATATGAAGGTTGTTCACCAGAAGTATGGAGGAGGAGGGGGTGTACCTACACGACATTTTGATGCCAAAGTAAGTAATGGACCAGAGTGAGAGAAAAATACAGAAGAGAGATAGAGAATTGAATACCTGACCCTCTAGTAAAAGAGTGTATTTATAGAGAGACCCTAGCGCAGGGCCAACGGTCACTTGTGTTCGGCTGGATTTCCAGGCCCAACCCAAGTGACTGCTAGGGCTTACATGGCGTAGTGAAGACCAGCACGTGGTCTTTTCTATAGTTCAATAGTCCCGTGATCTCCGAAAGGTGGGCTGACCAGCTCCTTCGGAAGTGGGTAGTTGCTTGATGACGTGTTCCCGCGGGGGGAGCACGTGGAGAATGTGTGGAAGAGGTATGTTTCTACCCGATGGAGGGAGGGTGCCTGCTCGGCGTGTTTAGAGGTGTGGTCGACACTAAGGTTTTGGGCCTTCCCTGAATAGTATTGGGTTGGGCCTTCCCGGTGGATGGGCAGGTCTGGGCCCATCCCAGAACAGGAGCCCCCTAAGTCGTAGCTTCAAAGTGAAGGAGCAATGACTTGACGATAACTGTGTCAGGGAGGAAGAAGGTTTGAGGAAGAATCTTTGTCGGTCTGCCCTGTCGAGGACGCAGGAGTGCGGGGATTTCGGTCTCGTCGAGCTATCAGGTCGAGAAGGGGGAAGGTTTGTGCGTCCTCGCCTGTCCGTACTCGCGGGGGAAAACGAAGGGACGTGAGTGTGCACGATGGCCACGTGTCTAATAATCAGTGGGACACGTAGGGTGGCTATCCTAGGGTACTCGAGTGCCTAAGGGCGCTTCGAGTCCCGAGCTGGGTGTATAAATAGGCAGGTATCTGCCCATTTACCACTTTTCGCCTTCTCTTACTTTCGCACATGACGTTGGAGTTTCCGCACGCACTTTTGTTCATCAGCGCCACCATAGCATCCGCCGCATATTCTGCTATTTCTTCTGATCCAGTAAGTCCCCTCTCCTTATTTTCTTTACATTTGACGTCGTCGTCGGGGACATCATGAATGTCCCGGGGAGGGTGAGGTTTTTCCGCTGATTACAGCGGCGTATCCTTAGATTTTAGGATGAAGGCCCCAAGGACACTTGGGGCTATAGAATGAATGTCTCGGGGATGATCGATACGATGAGAATGGGGACCTAGGGACATAGTATAGTTTTAGATGAGTGCCCCAGGGATGTAGGATAGGGTTAGATGAATGCCCCGGGGAGGGACGCTTGGGCAGAAGTGGACGTCGCGTGAGCGCTAGCTACCTCCGAGTTGTAGCCGCCGTCCCCCTCGCCCTTTTACTTGACCTGTGGTGGAAGGGTGAATTTGATCTTGAACGTCAAATTCACCATTTCCTTCTGCTTTTCAGGTGAATATGACTTCGTGGGTACCGGGGACCATGGAGGTTGACATAGAGCCGGAGGTTTCTGTTGCCGAACAACACATTCGTCTTGTCGAAGAATGGGTCGTTGAGGAACCACTAAACACGTAGTCATATTTCGTTGGCGACGACACCGGCGCCTTCGCGACTGTCGAGGATCGATGTGAGGATTCTCCTATCAGCTGACAGGTGTACCGACCGCGGGACTATCATCGGATCTGCCCGACGTACGGGAAGATGATGTTCCCGATGTACGAGTTTTACTTCCACGAGGCCGATCTTAGGTTGCCATTTAGCGACTTTCAGCTGGGCGTCTTCGACTGGCTAAAGTTGGCTCTCTCGCAGCTGCATCCCAATGCTGTAGCCTTCATCCGGACATATGAGCTCGTGTGCCGGCATCTAGAGATCGGGGCCACCCTTACGCTGTTTTTTTGCCTTTTCCATCTGCAGAGGCAAACAGTGGATGGCCGACAAGGGTGGGTTTTACTAAAACAGTCGAGGAGACTCTTTCGGGCGTACATGGATTCTGTCAGGGACTTCAAGGCGTGTTTCTATGTGATTCGGCCCATTTCCTTCGAGGTGTGCGCCTCTGTGTATCAACGAGAAGCTCGTCAAGTGGACGGGGAGCGGCTAGAAGTCATGGTGCCGAGGGTACCTTTGGATTGGACGGAGGAGCACTTTAAAAAGGGAACGAATCACTACATTGTACGGGCAGGGACCATGGACGAGGACAACCTGGTGGGCTACCAGAAGATAGTGTCCTTTGTGAGTAGTTTCTCCTCGGCCAAGCTGGTTATGCCAGACGGTGAATTTATTTGCGAGAACCAAGGGAATATCTGCCAACAGAAGAGGTTGATAAACACTAAGGCTCTGCTCGAGTTCTCGTTTGACGAGGAGGCTCTTTGTTTCCTAGGTGGTGGACGATAACCCGCTCGACGTCTTTGTTCCTTGTTTTTCTGTTTGCTAACCCTTTGTGTTTATTTTTCAAGTAGCATGTCGACCATCGAGGAGCGCGTGAGGAAATTGGCGGCCTCCAGAGCTGCGGCCAAAACCGGGAAGGGCAGGGTTGCCTAGGTGGTGCAGCAGGCTGTGGCCAACCTAGGGGGAGGGGGTCTTCGTCGTCACCTCAAGGAAGC